CTTCATATTAGTTATTTCCAGTAGCTTGTGTTCAGTTTCATGGCTTATTCCCCCAAACACAACTTCATATTTGCTCCTATTAATCCTCAGCCCAGTTGTTAGCTGAAACTCCTCCAAAGCATTCATAATACAGCTGACAGATTTGCAATCTGCTTTGCACACAACGATCAAATCATCAGCAAAAGTTAGGCTTACAATATTCAGTCTTTTACACATGGGATGGTAAGAGAATCCCTCCTCTTTGGCAACCATATGAAACTTCCTTGTGAGATACTCCATTACTAACACAAAAATAAGTGGAGATATTGGGTCACCCTGTCTCAAACCCCTACCCCCTTTGAAGAAACCGTGTTGCTCTCCATTCACATTTAGTATATAAGTGGGAGTGGAGATACAAAACATAATCCATTCAACAAATTTCCCTGGGAACTTCAATCCCTGTAAGATACCCTTTATTGATTTCCAGCTTACTGAATCATACGCTTTTTGAATATCCAACTTCATCATACATCTGGGTGTCACTCCTTTCCTCTTGTATCCTTTAGCCAATTCTTGGCACAATAATACATTGTGGAGCAATTCTCTTCCTTTTACAAAGGCAGACTGGTTCAGATTTACAATATGAGGCACCACTTCCTTTAGTCTGGTGCAGATCATCTTTGATATCACCTTGTATACAGTATTGCAGCAAGATATGGGCCTGTAATCTTCAGGTTTCATTGGGCTGCTAACCTTTGGAATAAGGGTTATACAAGTAGTATTAATCTGTTTAAGGGTAGTATCCTCCCTAAAAAACTCCAGCACTGCTTTTGTAACTAATTTGCCCACTTTATTCCAGTTCTTTTTAAAAAACCCACTACTATACCCATCAGGCCCCGGGCTTTTTGAGTCGGGGATAGAGAACATAGCTTCCCTTACCAGTTCTGCCTGGAACTCCTTCACTAATGCTAATTACTGCTCAATAGTTAGGGTCCTTCCTGATTCAATTATCCCCCTATCAATCTCTTTAGTGGAGGTGGTGGTTCCCAGCATTTTGATGTAGAAACCTTCAAGAACTCCTGCTATTGCTTCTGTTCCTTCCACTTCCCTCCCATCATCATTAATACTCATGATATAATTATTAAGTTGCCTCTTCTTGGCCAAGGCAAAGAACATTTTGGACCCCTTGTCACCCGCTGCGATCCATTCTAGTTTAACTTGTTGACATTTCAGCTGTCGGGATGCCTTAATGACCTCATTCATTTGTTTTCTCATATCTCTTTCTTTATTGATTAAGGTTTGATCAGAATGGAGCTTAATCCTCCCTTGAATTTCCATCAACTCATCTCTAATATCATCTACCCTCTGGTGGATACTTTTATATTTGTCTTTGTGAAGCTTCCTTAATGACACCTTCATTCTTTTTAAATTCTGAACAATTTGATACATGCTCCTTTGATTCATATCCTCTTTCCATTCATTCTGCAATATTTGTATAAATTTGGGGTCTTCCATCCACATATTGCAGAAACTGAACCATCCTCCTCTCTTCGGGCAGTTGGTTTCTTTAATGAGTAAAGGTGAATGGTCTGACACACCTTCATTCAGTACTTTAGTTTTGGTATTATGTCTCCTGATCCATTCAATGTTTACAAGCACCCTATCCAGCTTTGATAGGACTCTGTGATCCTCATCCTGTTTGTTAGACCAGGTGTAGAAAGGCCCCTCACTTGGCAGTTCTTCTAGTCCACAATCAACTATACAATTTTTAAAATCCCTTATGTCATCGTCTGTGACTGGGGTACCCCCCAATCTATCCTCCACATTCAGTACACAATTAAAGTCCCCTAGGCAGCACCAAGGACTGTCCAAACTACTTGCATATTCTCTTAGTTTGTCCCATAACATTTTCCTTCCCCCATTATCGTTGAAAGCATAGATAAAAGTAATATAATCATACTCACAATTGTCTATATTTCTTATCTTCACATGTATAGCTTGTGCACAACAGTCTATTATGTGTACAGCTATCCTCTTCGTATTCCATAATAGCCAAATTCTACCAAGTGGATGGTGATCCACATTGGTGTAAAAACCCCAACTCTTCATAATTTTATTCCTTACTTCTTCTTCTTTATGCCTCCTAACTTTAGTTTCCAGAATACCCATAATATCAGGTTTGTGTTTGTCTATCATATTCCTGACCTCCCACTGCTTATTAAGGCTGTTCAGCCCCCTCACATTCCAGCTAAT